AAATTACATTGGTTACCAGTTGCTGCCCGGGCCCAATTCAAAGTGCTTGTTTCGACATATAAAGCCCTAAATGGCTTGGGCCCTGGATACCTGAAGAACCGCCTCCTTTCATATGAGCCTACTCGGCAGTTAATATCTAGCCAGTGGGCCCTTTTGAAAGAGTCGTCCCTCAAGGAGGTAAGAGGGACGGCTTGTAGACAAAAGGTCTTTTCAGCAGCTGCCCCCAGACTATGGAATGCCCTCCCGATTGAGATTTGTCTGGCGCTGATGCTGATGCCATTTCAGCGCCAGATCAAAACCTTCCTGTTCCAGAAGGCTTTTAATTGAAATAATATCAACTGTGGGTCCTGATGGCAATTTTTAGAGTATCTATTTTAATTGTATTTTAACTTTTTATCTTTTTATTGTATTTTAATTGTTGTAAGCCTCCCAGAGACCTTTGGGTAGAGTGGGCGGCATATAAGTTAAATACATAAATAAAATATTTTTAAATCTAATTTTGGCTCATACATTATAATATTTCTCAACAGAAGAGAACATAACAGTATCAGCATTGACTGTTACTCAGTTCATTTTTTTGACCAGAAATGGACGGTTTTTATGGAAAATTATCTAGATATCCTAAAAGATGGATTTTTTAAGGTGCAAATGAAATTAACTGGATTCTATGTCAACAGGAATGTTTGATGTGAACTAATCCACAGACATTCCCTGGACTCTAAGAGTCTGCATTAAACAGGACCTGAGGAAGGGAAATGGGTTAGCCCTATTAATTTAACAAATGGTCACAAACACACAGGTTAAAATCCAGTAGTAAGCTGCAACTAGAGTAGACCTATCAAATCAATGGAACTTGTGTAAGTATTGACTCTCCAAATCCTCATGGATCCAATGGGTCTATTCTAGTTACAGCTTATTCCTGGATTTCAGTCATAATGCTGGAACCAGAAGCCAATTATGATTAATCCCATCTCTTTGAGGATTGCACCCATGTGACAGATCTTTGTTGCATTCATACAATACTGTGTAGTATATCTAATGTAAAATCCAAACAATATTTAAGATAATGTAAGCTAATGTATGGCATCTGCCTCTTATTAATCAGGATTTCCTGCTGTTTAGTGTACACTAAATTTTATAACGTCGCACACACAATACAAGTGAACACAGTCTACCTACATCCGGAGATTACAATCCGCATGACTCCAAATTACACTGAATTTGAAGTCACAGTCTGTTTACATGTTGTGCCCTTAAATGTGATCAGCAGCATGATCTCCTGGTGGTACAAGGGTTTAAGCTGCTGCTGTGGCTCATGTTATCACGTAAAGCAGGATGCTTGTGGGGAGGGGGTGGATGGGATTTGCTTCAATTCTTTTGCAGCTATCCTTTAATCAATCATTAGCTCAATCATCAGTCAAAATCTAACTGCAACCAAGAAATCAGAAGACTGAGACTTTGAATGATAAATATGAAGAAACTGGGAAAAAATCCTCAAGTACAAAGATGTGTTGCCGGAGACCAAAACCCACATCATCCGTACCCAGTATTGCCAATTACTGTGTATGGAGGTGAAAGCTTGATTCAACATGCTATGGATCGATTCAATGAAGAAAGCCACAACATTTAGTTAAAAAACCCAAGTTAACGACATGACCTTTTTGAGATCACTAGTTCACAGAAATGCCATAATGAGCAGATGGCATATCACAACAACAAAAGCAACAACTTTTGTTTGAAGTATCCTAGACTTGTGAAGCACCAAACATACATAAAATGCATGCGTGTGTATGCATGTACACTCTATCTCTAAAACGGACTGTGCCAATAAGTATTTTTTTATTAAACCAAACAGAAACCCCTTTACCTTTGCATGAAAGCATAGCAGAATTGGAGCACTGGGATATCCACCAGTACAGACTTCTGTGAAAGAAAGGAAAAAATGACAGTATAATTTCCTTTTTAAAGTACAAATAAATATCTAAAATCATTCACTATTGTAGGAATTCAGGCTGAATCCTAAACACATTTACTCAGTGGTGCCTTGCTTCTAGTAGAGAACTGACTATGTAGAGAGAAAAGTGTATTTTTATAGTTCAATTACCAGAAATTATTCACCAAACACATACATACAATCACATAGACATCACAACAATAAAAAAATCAGGACCAACTCTGACCATGCTTCAAAGACCACTGTATCAACTCCACCCTCTTGCTTATTCTCTTGGACATGTGACTATGTGATTAATATGAGACTACAGTGGTGACTCGCTTAACGAGCGCACCGTATAACGACAAAATCGCATAGCGATCTCTTTGTTGAGATCGCTAATGCGATTGCTTACCGATGGCCTCTATGGCCAAAACTCGCATTGCGACGATCGGTAAGCATTTCGCTTACCGATCTTTGCATTGCGACGCCGGGAAATCAGCTGTTTGGCGGCTCCAAAATGGCCGCCGGATGACCCAAAATGGCCGCCGCAACCATTTTCGTGCCCTGCCCTCGCTTACCGAGGGCGTGAAAATGGCGGCACTATGAGGAAACTTCGCTTAACCGTGAGTATAGAAGCCATTGGAACGCATTAAACTAAGTTTAATGCATTCCAATGGCATTTTGTGTCCCGTTAGCGATGTTTCCTCATAGCGAGGGTTAATCCGGAACGGATTAACCTCGCTATGCGGGGCACCACTGTATCTATTTCATATGAAACTGTGAATACTATACTCAATGGTCTGCCACACACAAACACTGAAAAAGTGATAAAGAGGCAACCAAGTCCCTCCTATAGCAGGTTGTTTCATTTTCATCCTTACCTTTCTATCCAAATTTCCACTGACTATTTTTAATAGTATGTTTTCTTCCGATGGCTTTTCTGGGTTTGTATGTTGCTAAATTAGTTTTAATACCCTATGGGTTTTATATCTTTACATGTTTTTATCTTATTTCTGTTAACCTTTTCTGTTTTGAAAAAGAGCATTAAGATATTTAAACAAGCAAAATATCAGGATAAGGCGGCTCTCAGACTTGCAGTTGTTTTGTTGTTATGTCTCATGCAAGTCGCCTCTGACTTACGGTGACCCTACGAGGGAGCAATCCTCAAAATGCCCTGTCTCCAACAGCCCTGCTCAGCTCTTGTAGACTCAAGCCTGTCGACGTTCTTTAGGGAGCTGGTCCATCTTGTATTTGGTCTTCCTCTAGATAACATTAAATACACTGCTCTTCTCAAGCAGTGGACCATGAGGGCAACTGGGTAATTGCCCCATCTCAAATTACCTGCAGACAGCCCAGAGGTAGGCATTCAGAGCCCTGACCATATTCCCTACCTGCTGTGTATATAGTTGCATGCTTGCTTGCTTGCCCACATGCTTGGATATCCACTTGAGCACCTATGTCAGCCCACCTGTGATGTGCTTTTCACTTTACTAACCACAGTAGACACCAAATGCCACAGCCCTCAGTCTAGATAAAGATGATTAACCCTTGTAACTCATCAGCTTGGATTCACTAAGAAAGATGCAATGAAATTAACTGTTACCTCTTCCCCTTTGATGAGGGATGGTTTCTTGACAACTTCTTTTACTAGGTGCAATATGGTGTCAGTCCTCAGAGTATTGAGTGCGCAAACCAGATCAAGTAGTATAAGCTGAGATGTATTGGCTACAGAAGAAATCTGAAAGAAGAAAGAAATGCAGGGGAAACAGCACTCACAAATAGAATGGAAATGCATTTTAGCTGGTCTATTCACTGTTTACTATCTCATCTTATGTTGCAGATATACTCAGGATATTAATCTATGGCAGGGCTTCCCAAACTAACACAGGTGTTTTTAGACTGCAAGTCCCAGAAATCATGGTCAGCACAGGCTTCTGAGAACTCTGGTCCAAGAACATCTGGGTTCCCAAGGCTGGGAGTGACTAATCTATGGCGTCCAGAAAAAGCATAAGAAAAAACAAGACATATCTGAAAGCCTATGATTTAAAATATTTTCTAGATTTTTTAAAGGTAACAAAAAAGTAAATTATAAGCATCAACGTTCCTCAAGTAAACATACTGACAAAGATCAATGTTAGTATTGTACAGAGAGTAACTTGACTGCTTTCTATAGGCAATTCAGCTACATCTCCCTGTATCAATAGTCTGTTCTCCCTAAGAATTTCTGCTTGGAATTTAGACCTTCAATCTTAGATCAGTTCAGGTGGTTGATAAAGCAGTCAAGCTCTGATTGATCAGGAAACATATTTGATTACATATAAAATACATCCGTTTGTATTTTAAGAGCAATTATAGTTCTACCAATGCAATAATTTAAAAAAACCCAAGAAAGTGACTGATTTAATGAGTTTCTTTCAGTCTCTCCAAAAGGCACACATAGTGTGATTCCAGCAGTAAACAGAGAGAATTTTAATATAATCTGCTAGGTGATTAAAAAAGCAGCTGATAATCAGTTTATCACAACTGACAACCCTACTGTGTGAAAATGGTTTTAACATGGCCCATTATGGAGTTAAACATACTGTCATTAACAATTTCCCCCTTCCCTCTCTTATCAAAAGGCACTTTTAAACACCCTAATTTATTTCAAGTACTGATCCTCACTTACATGTGAGAACCTTCCAACATGCTAATGTACTGCTTCAGGGCATTTACATTTGAAGGAAAAGAAGACAGAGCTAAATGAGAACCCACAGATTTGTCTGTGAATTTGTTTCAGCAAATACAGTATAGCTGAAATCTCTGAGATGAAAATCTGGTGCTTCCAGTTACCTAAGCAACATAAAGCATCAAGCAGTTGTCTGGCGCAACCCCTCTTCACATTTGGCACATTAGGAAACAGATAAGCCTTAGCTTTGGAAGTGAAATGATTGTATTGTTCTTTACCTTTGTTTTGCTGTGGTGCTTATGAGATTTTTTACTGTTCCACACTGCTGCTACCGCAGCTATAACTTGTGCTCCGAGATGTCCAGTAAGTGGATTTAAGAAGTCTAGTATTTTATTCTTCAATGTCTGTTAAAAATAAAACAATGGTTTTCTTATGGACTTTAGTCCCAATTGCCATGCATCTTAATGGAATGGAATAAGCTAAAACAAACCAGTTTTAATAATAATGTTTGTTCTCACTACTGAAACTTTTGCAATTTCCATTGCAAATAAAAAATAAACTTAGCAGGTTAATGAATACAAAAAAGGAAGAAGTAGAATTTATCAATATATTTATTGAACCACCAAAATATCATGTTTTTTAAAAAAAGAAAGCAAGCTTTCAGATCCTTCAAAGCTCTGACAAACTGAACTCACCTTTTTAATATATATATATTTTTAAATAACCTTCAATAATTTTTTATTTTCCCATGATTTCAATTCCCACAATTAGACCTACATGTACAATGGGAATTTTGATTTTTTTTTCAAATAACAGGTTCTCCAGTGCTGCAAACTGGATGTTATTTCTGAAAGTAAATGTTACAATGTCTGCTAAGAATGAAAAAGCATCCTTTGTATGTGTACAAATCATGCTTTTGTATGATGTAGAGACAGGGTGTAATATTCAGTGGGATTTTTGAAATAAACATTTACAGCATCTACAAGGTACTGGCTCATTACTCATGGGGAGATGGAATTCTGTAGCTAACTTAATTCTATGGTGCTGCAAAGCTGAATTTTGTCTCACTGTGTTGTTATATGCCATCAAGCCCTTTTTGAACAGAAAACCCTGTAATATGTTTCTATATTGAACATTAATATACAACACTTTTTGTTAGAAAAATTCAAGATTATTCCAGTAGAGAAGCATTCTGCCTACATCTAATCCACCCTTACTAAAACATTCATACTAGAGATGGGGTATGAATATCCCTGCACAGGTGGAAGTAAAGAGGGTCCGGCCCCATGGGGCCAGACTGTCTACTCACAATTTTGCCGCTGTCGCCAGCTCCACAGTGCCTTCCTATTGCGCTGTTGTCCACAATCGATTATCCAGTCCTGGCAGGAGGCGGAATGACAAGTCTCTCTGCTAGGTTGGAGAGTGGCTAATCCATTGTGGAGAACAGCACAATAGGAAGCTGTCATGGAGCAAGAGGCAGCAGTGAAATTGTGAGTGGTTTCCACCTGTGCGGGGATATTCATATACAAATACGAATACCCCCATCTCTAAATCATACCTTTGTTGACTTAAAGTAGACGGAAGAGGAGCCTTTTGTTCCAGGAAAGTCAGATGGTCTTTTTTGAGCATCTTCCTTTTTTAAAACATTCCAAAGGAGAGACATGGTGTTAATGATGCGGGGTAGTTCCTCCAAAATTGCATTCCTGGCATTTCTTAGGTTTGTAGGGTCAGCATTCAGTGGTGACTAGGAAGACCGAAAGAGTTTCCATTATACAAATGCAAGAGAAATAACTGCCATATTGTATGAAAAAATTTAAGCAAGTCTGTCCTGCCTAGTAAAGACATTGTAAACCTGTGGCTAATTTACTGTGTGTTTCCAAATCATACAAAAGTTTATGGGAAGTCCTATGAATGCATAAATAGAGTTGCAAACAATTATACAGCACTCTCCTACAATGTGTTATTCAAAGTGTTCTAATTCAGAATTCATAACATAGACATTGCTGATTCCAAAGAAACTATATTGATGAAAGATAGGCATCCTGGTATAGCAATCAGATGTGGAGATGAATGCAGAACAAGACATAATGGCAAATAGTTTTTAATTTCAACTCAAATAAATTAATCTGTGTCCCTTCCTTGACATTTTAAAAAAATCCTATATAAGATTGTTACATTTTTCTTAAAATACTTATAAAACATCACCCCTCAAAATATACTAATAACCAAATTTTCTTAGCATCATTTTAAATTAATGTGTAGCTAACACTGCCCCCCCATGTCTCCAGCTCTATTTTAACATCACAAAGAGACAAACATCACACAGAGACAATTAGCTGTAAGATATACAAAGCCGGATGGTAAAACACTTCCAGATGTGTCCATATGCTAAACAGCTGGACACTGTTAGTCTCACATTTGACCTGACATATTCTACCCAATCTTTTCATAAAACAAGAATCACATGAATCTCAACAGCAATACACAACTGCCATTCTATTTGATATCATCGGAAGCACAAACTGTCAAAAGCACATACTTGGTGTTCTGCTGTTAGTAGAGAAAGAGAATTATGGTTACCTTTTTGGTTTGGTTTAGGTGATCCAAAAGACAAAAATGGCCAATAGTTGTTAGCCCTTCCAAAAGGGTTAGAGGATAATCTGGTGTAATGTTCTCTCTTCTAGAATGTGTGATTTGGGGAAGAAAATCAGAAATTCAACAGGTTTTTTCAGTCAGAATTTCTGCATTCATACAGCTCTACTCAGCTTCATTAGTTACAAATTCCACCCACTGGCTAACTTATAAATTAAAGAAGAACTCGTGAGAGTTATGTGTAAGTGGTGTTCTCCAAGAAGAATTGGAAAGAAAGAGAGAGAATATAACACAACAAAGAAAGTGAAACTTGCTAACACAAACACTTAGAGAGAGGGAAAGAGAGAACTGAAAGGCAGGACGAAAGAATGGCTTCAAACTACAGTGGGATGAACCAATTCAATTTAGGTGAGGTACCATAATTCACTGGTACAACACATACTTGAAACATAGATTGCTGGGTCTCAAACTTGGATCCCTAGATATTGTTTGACTAATATTCCCAGAATCCATGGCTACTACCCATGCTAACTGGGACTGCTGAGATTTCAGAGCCAACAATATATGAGGGTACAGAGTTGGGAACTACTGATGCAGAAGTTTCAAAGCCAGGCATCAACCACTTTACCCAGATAGAGAGGTTACTTACCTGTAACCATGGTTCTTCGAGTGGTACTCTGTGAATCCACACAAATGGGTTTTACTATGCCTGCACAGGACTCCTCAGAATCTTCTAGAGCTTAAAAACATGTGATTAGTAAGACTTCCCCCGTGGACATCCCCTGTGGTCTTCCCGCATGCTCCACCCTCCTGTAATACCTAAGTTCCGATCATGCCTGCCGCTGTCAAAGCTCTGAAGCCCCAAGACAAGGAAGTAATGGATAGCGGGGAGGATGAGCAGGACGTGTGAATTCACAGGGTACCACTCAAAGAACCATGGTTACAGATAAGTAACCTCTCCTTCTTCATGGTCTCTGTGAATGCACACAAATGGGTGACTAGCAAGCCAACTAGCAAAAATGGCTGGTGTCCGTTGTGACCTGTCTGTGAATGCACACTGAAAGGATGGCCCACTAATAGGTGAGGGACGAAGGTCCACCATCTTAGTTGATAGGCCAATTCCAGAGTCCCATGTAGTATTCTGGAATGATGGCGTACTAGAGGATCGAACTGAGCCAGATACCAGGCTGCAAAGAGCGCATCTTCAGCCCTGTGTGTTGGAGCACCAACATGGTTGAAGCCATCAAACCGAGGAGGTGCTGCGTATGGCGAGCCGAAACCATAGCGGACAGGCAAAACGGGTGAATAGTTCGCCTCAACCTGAGAATTCTTTCAGAAGGGAGGAAGACTCTGGCCCTGATAGAATCAAGGTGTGCCCTGATGTAGTCTTTGGTTTGAGAAGGCTCGAGATAAGATTTCTCAAGGTTGACCCTTAGACCTAGGTAGCCAGGGTATGAAGGATGAAGATGGCATCCCTCTGAGCTTCATGATAGGAACTCGCCACGATCAACCAATCATCTATGTACGGAAAAACCGTGATGTTGTGTAGACAAAGGTAGGCAGCCACAGGGGCCAGACACTTTGTAAAAGTCCTTGGAGCGGTGGAGAGTCTGAAGGGAAGAGCACAAAATTGAGAAGCCACAGATCTAAAATAGGGTGAAGACCGCCCTCTCGCTTGGGAACTGTGAAGCAGTGGGAATAAAAACGGTTTAGAACATCCTGAGACGGTACCCTAGCCTGCTTCTGCAGGAGGAGAGATACTTCGCTCTCTAGGGCAGGTGAGTAAGTTGTAGATCTGATGCGATGGGAGGAAGCTCCTTGAACTCCAAAGAGTAACCATAACGTATGATGGCAAGCACTCAATTGTCCTTGGTAATGACTGACCATTTTTTGAAAAAGGGGGCTAGCCAGGGGTGATAGGGTCGGTCGAGGAGCGGGGCCAGGGGAAGACAGTCAAAGATATTGTTTTTTCTTTGCAGGTCGACAAAAAGCTTGATGGTTCTGAACAGGTGCTTGGGACCGGAAGGAGGCAGCAGCAGAGGAGGATGGGGGAGGATTGGAGTGATCCAGTGGAAGAGGTTTGTATGATCTATAGGACTGCTGGTGGTATGGCTGCTGGAAGTTGAATGGGCAACACCACTGGTTGCATTGTAATCTAGGCTACTGAGTAGAGTAGGATCAGGCTGTTTTGAGGATTTTATGCAGATTGTCCATAACCTCATCTGTCTTCTCATTAAATAGGCCAACCCTCATCATATGGGAGGTCCTCTATGCGGGACCGAGCATCATTGATGAACCCTGCTGAATGGAGCCACACGTGTTTTCTGAGGCCAGTAGCAGAAGCCATGGCCTTAGAAGCAGCATCTGAGGTATGCCAAGAGGCCAAACACTGCTGTTTAGCCAAAACAAACACCTCTAGATGTGTATTGAGAACTTGCCCTGCCTTTTTACCATTCTTTTTGCTATCCTCTCCATCACCCTTTCCATCACCTTACTGCCATCTGTTTTAATTTCCTGATTTGTTATGTATTAACTTATTTTTATTGTTTTATTTTTTTCCCCTCCTTATATTGTTGTTAGCCGTCCAGAGTGGCCTGGCTGCCAGATGGTGTGGGATATAAATTCAAATAATAAATAGATAAATAAAATAGCATCCTCAGGGGAGGCCTGGAAAACTGGGAGAATCTTGTTCCACAGTTGTCTCTGACATGCCCCGTGGCAGCCTGATAGTTCGATACCTTCATTACGAAAGGTGCAAGAGAGTAGAGATGATGACCCAAGATGTCTAGTTTTCTACCTTCCCTGCTCATAGGTGTGACAGTAGAGTGGTTCCCAGCCCGAAACCGGTTAGAATGCACAATAATGAAATTTGGGAGAGGATGCTTCACCAGAAAACCAGTGTCATCCCCGTGGGTTCTGTAATGATTTTCGACACGGCTGGAAATCTGTAAAGAAGTAGCAGGCTTATCCCAGGACTCCTTAATAAGATCCAGCATAGCTGGAATGAAAGCAAGACTTAACTGAGGCAATTTCTCCTGATTGATGTTGTCGAAGATGAGATCTTGCTTAGGAGGAGGAGGTTGCTCGATATCGATCTCCAAGGACTTTACCATGCGGAATATCAACTGCAAATAAGAAGTGAAATCCTCGGACAGAGAGGGGGGATGGTTATCCACCATGTCTGAATCCGGGGTCAGAAGACTCGAAGGAGACTCCCTAGAAGCCTCAGAGAACTGATCTTGAACATCCGAGACTGAAGAAACTGAAGAACCTCTAGTATAAGAAGGAGGTAAAGAGGGCGAGCGGTGGTGAGAAGCACCAACCGGGGAGCTGGTATCGAAGAAACGCTTTCTGGTGAAGCCGGGACCTTGTGAGAAGAAGAGACCTGAAGAGATGAAGAGGGAACTTGAGCAAGAGATTCATTCCGCTGTGGTACCAAAGCCGACGGGACCGATGCTGTATGGGAATGTTTTGATGCCCGAGAATCCTGTCCAGCAATGTCAAGTTGCTGTGAATGATGCTTAACAGCTGGCCTGTGTGGGACAGGCAAACAGGGATCAATGTGGTAATAGTCCTGGTGTCAATGTCGAGGTGGAGGAGAAGGCAATGGAGACGAGTCAGAGGGGGAAGCATAAGCGCAACACACCCTCTTTGGTCGGTAGAAAGAGCTGTAGTAAGGATCAATCTCGCCATATGCACATCGATGCTGATCCATTATGCTCCCCATAATGGAGCTCTTGATAGTCTGCCAAGTATTGACGTCAAGAGTGCCGAGGGTTGTAAATAATGTCCCGATGCCTAGACAACTGAACTGATAGAGAAACATGGCACTGCTTAGTCAAACGTTTACGCGGAGAATCTGAAGCTGAAACTTCTGAGTTTGAGAGCTGAATAACAGTTGGCCACCCGACAGACATAGGGCTAGAATAGGTCGAGGCCGGGCTGGAGAAAACATTAGCCTCTGAGCGGCCATGACTCGGAGACAGGCTCAACAACAACTCTGGACCATGAGTTGGAGGCAGCAGCATCAAGTAATCCACTTCTGACTGAGAGTCCGGGTTGGGTACCCCGCTCAATGACTCCTCAAGGATTGGCAATGGAAGCAATAGTTGGGTTGGAGGAGGTTCTCTAGGACGTGATTTAGAGGAGTGGTCCCCAACCTTGGGCCTCCAGATGTTCTTGGACAGCCTGAGTTGGAGGCAGCGGCATCAAGTAATCCACTTCCGATTGAGAGTCTGGGTTGGGTACCCCGCTCAATGACTCCTCAAGGACTGGCGATGGAAGCAATAGTTGGGCTGGAGGAGGTTCTCCAGGACATGATTTAGAGGACCACTTTGTTTTCTTCTGTTTATCAATGTCTTCCTTTTCTTAAAAGAAGGAGCACTAACTGAGACCGAAGGTGACCTTGAGGCCAATGTCAACTTTGAGCCCGATGTTCTGTTTATCAATGTCTTCCTTTTCTTAAGAGAAGGAGCACTAGCTGAGACTGAAGGTGACCTCGAGGCCAATGTCGACTTTGAGCCCGATGGGTGTTTCCATTTGGGAGCCTTAGAAGAAGGCGACAGCGTGATGGGAGCCGAGGGTTGGTCTACTGGTTCAGACCAAGGGACTGGTCTTAAGGTAGGCTCCATAGTAGATGGTGATCTTGAGGTCGAAGGCCTCAGGAATTTCTCCCAGATAAAAGACCAAAGACACTGCAAAAGAAGCTTAAGGGCAGGTCTGGTCAATCTCTTTCACTCCAGGCAGGAACCTGTCTGGTGGTGTTCCCCCAGGCAAAACAAAAAGCCATCTGGGAGGGGAATTTTATTGTCACACGAGTTGCAACGCTTGAATGGGCCTGTTGGGGTCATAAAAAGGGCAGGAAGGGAGGGAAAGGGGAGAATTAGAAGAAGAAAAAAACTCACAGGGAAACATCCAGAACAGAAGAACAGATCAAGTCCGAAATCCAAATTGTAAACCGTGAGACAAGCCAAAAGTCCCAAAAAAGAGAGAGTAACAACAAGAAGTTCTCTCTAGAGATTGCCAAAGAAGTCTGATTTCAGCAGCGGCTAAAAGGAACTGAGGTATTATAGGAGAGTGGAGCATGCGTGCCACGGTGGAATGCCTTACTAATCACATTTTTAAGCTCTAGAAGATTCCGAGGAGTCTTGCGCAGGCGCAGTAAAACCCATTTGTGCGCATTCACAGAGACCATGAAGAAGAACTCTGCCTGGACCAATAACTGCTTCAAGTCACAGCAGTCAGTACTGGCTAGGCAGTTAACAATCTGATTTGGTGTAAAGACAGCTTCTATGTCCCTGCCTCCTCTTCTACAGAAGAATTCAGAATATTGCAAACCAGGAGGTAGGGAGAGAATCTCCAGCCTGTGAGTTTAATCCAAATTACACCTCCACCTTCAAGCCCTTCCCCATTCTCTGTAGGCTCAGTCAGCATTTGCAGGAGTCTCCTGAACGGCAATGCCAGTACAGGACTCAGTCAGTATCTGGAAGTGTTGGTTTAAGGTTGATTCAATCCTTCTCCCTTTCCCCTGAGCAAGGAAGAGGCAAAACACAAAGTGGGTAAGTTCCTCATGAAGGGACCTCATGAAGTTATGGTGAGTAATTACACCACAACATGAAGGCCTATGGGAAGGAGAAGAACCAACCCTCACCCAGTTTCGAGTTTCCTATTCCTGCGCTAAATAATGTTTTCTTGGAAATATGGACATAAAGAATGTGACATCTTGCAGAGGCTAAATCAGCAAAATATGAAAGAGCACAAATAGGGAGTTCCTTACCTTGCAGATGCTTTTGTTGACATCTTCAGAGTTTCATGTTCATATTGTTTGACAAGTTCATCCAAATTCTTGCATATTTGTACAGTAAATGGTGCCACTGTCCATCCTAAAGATCGCCCAAAGTAAGGCAAGGAATACGCAACAAGACTCACCCAAGCAGGATGCATGCCATATCCATACTCTGGCTGTAGGCCTCGAACTACAGCAGACACAAATAAACCCTGAGATGTTATAGGATGTGGATGGACATACTGCACAGCACTAATTGCCTCCTGAAAGTTAAGAGCTTTTTGCCATTCCTTAGATAGGCCTGGCTGATTTTCCATTTCTTCTTGAGTTTGTCCAAGATGATGCTCCAAGACTATCAGTACTTGAAGAAGCTTAAGTAGTTCAATTTGCAAAGGGTGCTCACTCCAAATTTGATCATGACCAAAGTTGATGAGGCACTCCTCAAGGATACAATCTTTATTTAAGCCATTAGGCTTATTAACTATGATACGTTCATAGCACTTTTGACTAATATACATAGAAGCAGACAAAGAAAGAAGGACAAACTCTTGAATTTTGCATCTTCCAAGCAAGCTGCGTACAAATTCTATGTTCCTGCTCTCCTTTGATTTGGCCATTGTAGTCAACTGTGTTGTCATTCTGATCAAGACTTCAACACTTTTTACTTGGACATCTCTATTGCCAAGCACATCTTTGTGAGTCACTTTTAGATAAGAAGGATAGTAAGAGCGCAGAAAACTGAGACAGAGGTATGTCAGCAATTCTATTAATAACGAATGGGGGCACACAGATGGTGACTGAGTTTGAAGCTTTCCGTAGAAACTCTGTCCTATAAGGGCTTCCTGATGGCGAGCTAGAAGATTGTAGATGAGATTCAGATGAGCTGTGGAGCTTGTATCCATGCTAGTGGTGGCTACAGCTTCAATAAACTCTCTAGGGTTTGTTTTGAGCACCGCTTCAAGTACAGAAAAAGCATATAGCACCCTTTTGGAATCATATGGCTGCAGGTACAAGAGAATATGCTTAAAAAGAGCCTCAACCATCTCCTGTTTTTCCTTCTGCTGTTTCAGAAGCCTAGACGTGGTGAGTGCTTGAAGCTCTAGATCCACCTCCTCATCACTTGAGAAAGATTCTGATGCTTGGGTTTTCTCAGAATCTGCACGTACTAACCTTAGTGCAGTACTGGATTTGGAACTGTCAGGAGGATACATATCGGCATAGCCAACATGTTTCATGCTTTCTCTGCCATCTGTCGAGACACTATTGTCCTCACTGCTCATATCTTGCTGGTCCAGAGAAACAGAAAAGGATGATGCATTATCACTATCAAGAGGACCAGTGCTAGTATCAGCAGACTCCGTATGTTCACTATTATCCTCTTCACCCATCTCTTGTGAAGCTTCTGTACTCTGAAGATTATTATTTATAGAGAGTTCATTTTTTTGCAGACATTTTGCTGGGTCTTTTTCAACTTCCGCCCATATAGCTTCCCTGTCCACAGCTGTGAACTGGCACAGTGGCAAACTTTCCTCAGAACTGCTTTCATGTAGTCCGGGAGCTCCCAAGGAATCCTGGTAAGCTTTTTTCTTTTTATACCAGAGGTGCATGGCATCTGTGGAAACAGAACAAGTTAAAATGTATGTGTGTGTATCATTTTTTTAGACATTATAGCCTGAAAGTGGGAAATACCATTATTAGTGCTGGTGATATGGAAATAACACATAGAACCCACCCGCAAAACCCACCCCATGTCAATTGGACCTCTACATGTTCAATGCAAACGAAGGTCTGAAGAAGAGCTTCTATGTCTGTTCAGCTGAATATGCCTACATGTGATGGGAACACCTAATTTCAGGCTATAATGCCCAAGTAAGGTCTATGTTATTACTCTTGCATTAACAAAGGAGGTTGTTCACAGATAACCACCACATCTCTGCCCCACTATTTGGACACTTAACAACAATAATCATAAGAATGGTAAAGACCCTTCTCATATTCAAGTGAGCCCTCTTGTCTGAGTATCTGTATACAAATGGCTGTTGTAAGGAAGTAGCAAGGTATTCTGCTTACATGCTTTTATTATTTGGCTAATGGAGGCACATTAGCTTCTGTTTTATATTTTTCCCTGCCTTCAAGCTTTGGGCCAGCAGCCAAAACGTGCTGCTGAGAAAAAACTTGCAGAGAAAAAAAGTCAGAGTCAAATTATAAAGCTTTGAAAAACATAAAACAGTGTGCTAGTAAGTTTTAACAGCCATAAATAATCCTATTGCCAATTTACATTTGCACAACGAAAACTGTATAAATCTTGAAGACAAATTACTGCTCATTAATGAGGTGCCAGTTCTATAGTCAGCATGATCCGACCAGTAGCTCTAAGCTTTAGAACACAACATTTGGTACTAGATGATGTTTTAATTCCTTTCCTTTTCCCTTAGGGTCAGCAGCCTGGCAGAATTTGACATCCTTACCCTCAGTTTAGGAAAATACAACTTTAATACTTCCTTTGAACTGGGGGCTCGTTTTATTGCTACCATGGCATGATAGTCAAAGAAGGCTCCCGGTTCAAAGGAAGTATGCCACCAAATGCTACTTGTGGGTAGACTACAGGAACAACAGAAGGGCACTTCGCTTTCTACTGACTCAAGGACTTCCCAAAAGTAAAAGCAGGGCTTGTCACTTTGGGAAACAAAATGCTGGAGGAGACAGATCCAAGAAAGCTCATCTCAAATAGTTCTCAGGGAGGTAGCTGTGTTAATCTGTTTCAGCAACGATAACAACATCAACAACAAATATTATGGTACCTTTAACACTAACCAATTAATTGCATATTAGGCAAATTCCAAAGAAACAAAACAAGACAAAAACACGTGGCACCTTAAAAATGAACTATTATATTTTAATGTAAGCTTTCATGTACATGTCCATTTCGTCAAAATGTATGGAAACAGAATGAAATGTTGAATTAAATATCAGTTTCTCAAGTACAACATTCTAAATATTAATTGGCTCTTGGTTATATGGTACATCTACATGTAGAAATTTGTGGGCTACGTTGTTTTAGGGTACTGTTGTAAACATTCCTTTGGGCGGCAGAAGACACACCAGGCCTGACAAAGATGAGCAGGGAGAGGGAAGGGAGAGAAGAGGTGTGGGTTGGAAGACTGCAGATTCAGTTAAAACTCAAGAGGAGGAGAAAGAATGTATAAAAGTAAATATAAGAAGATAGCAGAGGAATTATATGTGTTAATGTTGGGAATACTGACGACTTTCACTCCCATTGGTGGAAAAAACCAATGAAAGAAGATAGCAGAGGAATTACATGTGTTAATGTTGGGAATATTGACAGTTTTTACCTTTGAGCCTTGTGATGAGAGATGGGCTTGGTAGTTATGAAGAAACTAACAGTAGATAACAGTAGAAGTATTTGGTAACGACTTAAACCTAGGCTTATATTCAATCCATTTATATGGGTGTCCATCATGCGTATAAACTTTATCTCATCTGTTTCCCTCTGTATTAGTTCCAGCCAGAGTTTTCATGTGTACAATATAAGTATTTAGATACTTTTCCAAACCTGTATCTGAAGAAGTGGATTTGTATCCACAAAAACTCACATTGATTCTTAAAGGTGCAGCATAACTTTTTTTATTCCTGCTTTGTTTTGCTTGCCTTTTAAGGGGAATTACCTGCTGCGTTTTTCTGCTTGATGCAGTGAATAGAATTGCGCTGTGTCTTGGGGTGAAGCAGAAGCAGAAGAACAGGTTCAAGAATCCGTGCGACATCATTAAGTGAGAGCGCTCGTATCAACCAACCCTGAGCTGCAGCACCAATTGCTCCATCTGAACAATTAAGGCTGTCTAACACAACAAACAGAGACCTGCATGGAGAAATTACAGGGGCATTAATACAAAAGTAGCAGTGCTGAGGTTGTATTTAAACTCTCAGTAGAAAACTAAAACAGAAGAAAAGCTTTAAAAGGAAACTAAATTTTATGCCATTTTTAATGTCTCAGTAGGCGTGAACTAGTCCTGGAGTGTGGTGCTGCATGTGTGCAGTGGGATGAGGAGGGAGAGATGGCACCCCAGTAGTGAGGAAAATAGTAGGCTGGCCTGTAGCAACAGGCTGAAATCATGCCAGACTACCAATGGGGGGGGGAATGTACTGTATTTTTCCGTGTATGATACTTTTGTCTAAAATCTTTAGATTAAAAATTGAGGGTTGTCTGATGCGTGGAAGTAAGGAGCGGGGAGGGATCAACGCGCTTTGATCCCTGCCTTCCCCGTCCACTTTCTTGTGAAGAAAGAAATGTTGGGTTAGAAAAGTGGGGTCTTATACATGGGGTCGTCTTATACACAGAAAAAGTATGGTGTATACGTATATTATATGGTGATGATATGGAGTTGTAGAGGAAGATAAACTGTACAGTGTTGAAAAAACATTTTTTGCCTATATTGTCTTTTGCCCCTGCAAAAGTACTAGATGATATACAATGCTGTGACAGAAGAATCTGCTCATATAACAGATGTTTCATTTTTCCCTCCACAGTTTCCTGATGGTGCTTTTATATTTGCCAAGACCTTGCTGCTTAGTGTGGTAAATTGCACTATAGTCAGTCTATAGAATCAACAGGCATTTAGTGAGTCAACTCCTCTGAAAGTTTCACTGATTCAAATGGGCCTGCTCTAACTGGAAGAGTTAACTCACCAAATCCTAACTGAGTTGGTGGAGTTACTCTAGTGTAATTAATTATGCTAAGCAACAGGGCTTTGACCATTGTCAAATTCCTTCCAACTTATGGGAATGCTAATAGGATTTTTGAGGTATGTAACATGTTCCAGGAGAGGTTCACCATTGATACACCTCAGTGAGTTCCCATCCTCAGCATCTCCATAATTTGTTAGGGAAGGTTGCTTGACACTTCAAGAGCAGATGTTTGCAGGGGATGTGGGGCCCACTACACTGTCTGAGGGTGTTTCGTCAATAGACAAATACAACTGGATTTCAAACATAGTCTTTTTCAGCTCAATTGACTGAAGTATGTATAGTTTATGAAAATATGCAAATTCAAAATAGCAGTACCTATCAAAAGATCGATTGTGGGAAGTCACTCTGCTGCCTTGGATTTCCCTTGTCAAATGCCATATAATAGAGAATCGGAAGAGTGCCTCTAGCCTTGTTCCCTGAGCAGAAAAGAAACTCAAGCAGTAAAACAAGAGTACTCAGTTCAGCTCAATGAATTCTACAAACACAGATATTTAATCTTCTATTATACAAATGTTAATTATAGAATACAAATTGTGAAAGCCTCCGTAATAGTCCTACTGACTGGACTGTGGAGAAGATCCTGGTGTCCAAAGGCTATGCCATCAGAATGCAACCTTTTTCAAGTTCTAGAAAGCTAATAAGGCTTAAGTGAATCCCCAACAAGAGGTTATATGTCTTCCAAGGTCTAACCTAATTAAGTACAGACCAACTCATCACTAGAAGGTTTGCCGTAAAGGAATGAGCTTCCACTATGGACGTAAGGATGGTGTGGAATAGTTGTGATGCGCGTTGATGGAAGAATTACTTGCACCAATGAAATAATGGATTTTCAAGATATTTGAGGGGAGAAAAGTGTTGAATTAGCATCTGGCCTTAATGGAATTTTTAATGTAATCTTTCAGATGGCAACCACCAGGAAAAGAAAAAACCATTACAGCCTTCTAAATGTTTGGCTTTAGTTCCTTCTAGTATGAAAAATATAAAATCTAGATGAAAACAATGATAGTCTGAGAAGCAGCTCATCATATTTTCTAGTTTTTGTTTTGTTTTCATTTTTAGGAGTATAACTAAACTACTATTGCTACCAAGTACGGTATCTTTTTAATTATCCAGTTAACTGCATTCTACTCTTATCTCAAAACCCAGGAGAAAGGGATAACATTTAGTCATTGATTTGAGGACAGGCTTGTCATTCCTTATCTTAATGAGCAATCCAAAATAAACTTCTATAAAGGTGTTTTTTTGCTGATACAGAGCTGTAGTTATGTGATAAGATTTCTGCTACTTCTATCACTGCTAAGCAAAAGACATTGACTCAAGAGGGGAAAAGAACACAGAACTATTTTAATGGTTTTAATGTTTGGATATTTTAATCTGTTGTAAATTGTTTGATTTTAAATTGTTTTAAATAACATAAGTTTTTTTTAAAAAATTATACAGCTTTGTAACCCACCCTAAGATTCTATGATATAGCGTGGGCAATAAATGTTTTAAACAAATAAAAACTTCCCTTAGTCAGGCTACAGCTACTGGCTTTAGAAACAGTTTCAGAAAAGAGTCATGTTTGTCATTTTAAATTTTTTGAATAGCACACTGGTTTCAACACTTTGGTATTTATATTTATTTATTCAGTTAGCCTGCAGACAATGGGGAAGAACCTCACCTGAGGTTGTGAAAAGGCAGAGATCATAGGAATCTCTTCAGGACACATACATATAACCAAGGCTACAATCCACCACACATTTATTTATTAGGAAGTAAGCCCGTGAAATACAGTGGAAGTTACTTTCAAATAAATACATCCAGTTCTGTTCTAACTTCCTTGCTTCTGTTGCTCTGCTTTTCTATAAGGGACAAATTTCAGACCAAAAAGCCTTACTTTATCATGATCCAGTAATGCATGGCAGATTATGTCTTCACAGATATTAGCTGATGGAGCTAAACAGTGCAAACGGTAGAACAGCTCTACACAAGTGTTGTGATGCTCTCTTTTCTCATTGTTTAGCTGATCCCAAAGCACTTGAGCAACTCTCTGTAGTTAAATAAAAAAACATATTAGCCATTTCAGGTAAATTGAAGCACAAAATACAGAATACACAGCATTCCGTGTTTTTCTGTACTGCAAGGATAGGCAAGCTGGTGCCCTCTAGGGATTTAGACTCCAGCTTCCACAAGACAAGCTCAACGGGAGCTGTAGTCCAAGTATGTGGGCAACGTCAGCTTGAAAAACCCTCTCATTATATTATACCAAATGGTGTTTATTCATAAGCAATAAAGTGAACATGAAAAAGCCTATATTTTGTAAATATATAAAAAGTGATTTCCCATTAATTTAAGGTAGCACCATTTAAGCAGAATAATATAAGATAAATACTACTGGGCAGCAGATTTCTTGAAGGGCAATTAAGCAAATATATTTATTGATTGTTAACCAAAATTTTCAATGGTGAGCTTGCACTATCAAATCTGTATACATCAAGGCACATGATTTTTGACAATTTCCCGTGTCATAAAGTCTCCATCACTGTATCTTACGAACAAATATGGTAGAAATTTGCAACAGTTTGGGGAAACTCAATGTGAAAACCAGATGCCAGATCAATCCTTTTTTATGGGGGCACCCCAGGACTCTGCAGCTTGCCCAAGGCCATATAGAAGGCTCTTCTGGGATGCACAGTGGGGAATCAAACTCCCAACTTCTGGCTCTGCAGCCAGATACCTAACTTACTGAACTATCCAGCCAACTAAACCAAAAGTTAACACAAAACCTCTATTGAGGATACAGCAGAGATTCACTTAAGTTTTGGATGCGCTCTTCAGAATTAACATGGTAAGGAATCATGACATCAGTGGTGGTCATAGCACATAAAATGTTGGGTTTTTTTTAAATTTTAAAAAAATAGTATATCCTTTAAATTTTTTTATTGTCAACATGCTTTTTGTTTTGGGCCCTTGATTGTGAGTTTCAATAAGCACAATTACTGCTGTTCTTTAAGTGACTTGGCTCCCATATTTAGGATTAAGGATGTGTGAGGAAAGAATATTGTTGCAACAGCTACACAGGAATGAGAAACACTATTCAGTCATCCTGAAAGGTAATGTCAATGCTGGTACAGTAAAAAGGGCAATATATATCTAAGAAAAAATGTGGATCCAAAGAAACCCCATTATATTATGGCTCTATATTCATCTTTCAATTGCAGATAATACAAGTACACCACCTGATAGAAATCAGTTTTTTCTGAAATTAGCTTTAAAACTCCAGGTGTAATAGGAGGCACAGTGACCATCTGCAACCTTCCAAAGAAAGGGTTTTGCCCAGGAATTTTATTTCGCTTTATTCTGTCTTCAATAACCAGAGCCAAAGACTGGGAATGATTGATCACTTCTAGCAGTACAGAGATCGCTACATTTTGAATGTAGCAGTCATTGACACAGCAGCATATTGTCATCAAGGATTTCAGCCACAGGGGGAAACTGGATTCACAGCCTCCTGAGGAAAGCAAACAGAAAGTTTAGTTACAGTACATCTTTCCTATGATATTCAAATGATTTTAAATGCTTTAAAACTGTTCCTGCTATATTAAATATTTACTAATAAATACACAGATATATGAGCAATAATAAAATATTGCAACATATCCTCTGCATCAGAGAACTGCTCAGGTTTCTAGCTTGCCATCCCCTCCCTCCCTCTCCCCACAACAAGATTTCTATGTCCAATTGACAGTTTTAAGATGCCGAGCATATTTGGTTGTCTCTTGGCTGGTTGCTGCTGCCGCCATTTAGCACTCTACGTTTTGGGAGGAGTGACACTATTCCTGCAAATGTTATGCTTCCTGAAACCAAACATACAAATGCCTTATCAACACCTCAATCAACCGGTCATGTTTCATTTGAAAAAGCCACTGATTAGCCACAAAAAGATCAGGAAGCTTTTTATCCATCCCTGAACATACCTGGCTTCCTTTGGTTTGGAACAAATATCCGCAATCCTATTAATGTTTACTCAGTATGTTCAGAGGAACTACTCCCAGTTAAGTGGGCACTGAACTGCAGCCTAAAGATATTAACATTCTGTGCTTGATATACTGACCTGTTTTAAACAGCATGTGCTTCAACTTGCACTTTGTCAGTCTGCCTCACATGCTACAGTTGCTTCCACAAAACATGCCTATTCTGCATTACAAAGGCATGGCCCTGATGATTAGACTAGTCGGAACGGTCTGCTTACCAGACACTTGAAAGAGAGATGAATAGAGGTGTTCCATTTCATCTTCAGAAAGATACACAGGGAACGTAGTACAATCCAGCAACAAATAGCACACTGCCGCAAAGGCCTCTCTGCAGTCCTCTCTCATGTCTCCCAAGTCAAGCATAACCTGGTTAATGTCCCATTCTTCCTCCTCTTTCCCTCTCTGACTACCAAGGTCATCTGAAGGAGAGGGAGGTTCCAGACCTTTCTGTTTAAATGGTGATCCTCGTACAGTGAACAAGTCTGTCAGCATCTGCTTAAACTGAGGCACAATGATTTGTTTGGAGTCCCAGGAACGCCTTTTCTTGCCAGTGTTTGCAGTGGATGGGTAATGATTTCCTTTGCTCCCCTCTTGACTAACGTGTGCTGTCGGAACAGTACCTGCGCTGGGACCTTGCAAATGAATTGCAAATATGTATCTGCTGGCAAACTTTGCAACCAGCTCCTGGATACAGTGCAAGGTCTTCTGCATGCTCCCACCTTTTTTCCAGACATCATCTTTCTCTGGGAAGATTCTAGGGATTCTCAAGTGCTGTGAGAGCTCTGGAGATGAAGCACTAAGGGCTATGCCACTATCTTCAGACTTGAGTGGAGGAAAAGGAATGTCCTCTTCATTTTGTTGCCTCTTCAGGTCAGAAGTCAATTCTTGGCTTTCTTCTTTTATAGGGCTCTGAAATGATATAACAAGTATTAATGGCCCACTACCAAGGCAAAAAATCAAATTAAATTATCCTTACAGCCAACAATTCATGGAGTAGGACATTCCACTTACATGTGAGAAATGCATGGCTTAACTAGGCCCTCATTTTTGGAAGCATATTCTGGGATTGGGGGTGCTGTGAATGGAAAGGTAGCTCACAGAACGCAGACTTTCTACAAGCGAAAACACTGGTTCACAAATATAGTGAAGGGTTGCTTCAGATGTGCTGGAAACAAGGACTGATTCAGGAATGTTAATGATGTGTCCTTGAGGATATTCATGGCCTCAGAGCCATAAAATGTGTAAGTGTGAAGAGTGCAATAAAGCAAAGATCCTCCTTCCATTTGGACGTGCCAAGGCAGTGAAGGCTAGTGATTCACCCTTCCAAATAACACAACACCTCCCCCCTAAAATAAACTTTGAAAAACTGTGCTTCTCTAGTTATGAAGTAACATGAGACTAATTAGGATGCTGCTTTGCGAAGAAGCAAACAGGGCAGGCTGAAGAAACAATCCTAAAATGCTTTTGGTTAAAATATAGCTAATGTTGCATTTTCCAATTTTCCTTTATTGTTTTATGGCTCTCCTCATGCAAATAAATCAAAATTTACAGTCCTAGCACAAGAGTTCTCCTTTGGGTGGTTTAATTTTAAAATGTCTGTTGTTTGCTAATCTTTGAAAGTGAGTGAGTATTCTATTATTTTGTATTTTACATAACAATTGCTCACACTGTTTAGCTTCTCAGTTTAAGTAGCCAGGGTAGTTTTCCCATTTTGCTTTTAATATGTGATTTCTTGTTGGATTTTCATCCTTTGTTTCACATGCATATCAAAAGTATATGGTTCTAACACACATGTATATTGAATCTATTTTGCTTTTTGTTTCTTTTCTTTTTTAAAAATTTCTGTGACTCAGACTTTGTCCTGTAATTTGTTTTACTGATACATTACTACACTTGAGAATAACTTTTATTTCAATTTGATCTCAGTTTAAAGAGGAGTTATTCAGAAGACAGATTTATGGTGACTGATAAGGTTTGTGGGTTAAGATAATTTATCATAAGCAAGTTTGAAAGACAGGCTGCAATTAAAATGAAAGAACAAAGAAGCTACCAAAGTTTTTGGTCATTAATTTATCTATGTATAGCCAGTTGTAATTTAACTGAAAATTCTTCATTCAAAGAGTAAGTTGGAAACAGTTAGAAGTTTTGGAGGATATTAAAAGGAAACCAAAATATGAATTCATACATTTGAAGATGTGGGATTATAATCTATAACAAGTCATGTTAAAAGAAATCTGATGAAATTTTAGTCATGAAATTTTAGTCATGAAATTTTAGAAAATAAATTCTAAATGAGCCATAGGATTCAGTTGTCTTGCTGGAACAGAGTAGCACAACTACTCCTTTGAAAATGATTTCATGTATCTTTGCTTTTAAGGATTATTTGATGCTGGGTGTTGGTTTCCATTCTCCTTCTGCTTCATTCCAATACTGTAATTCTATAGCTGTCTGCTTGTCTCCTTCTCTCATGTGGTAACAGCAAGGTCTTTGAATATCCATAGCTACATCTTTCTCTCTTTCTACTGCAACTTTGTTTCCTGATGCTCTTAGTATGCTGACCCCTTTAGAAGCAAAACTATGGCCAAAATCCTTTTGCTTAAGGTAGTAAAACTCACTAGAGTAAGCCCACACTGAATCAACAGGGATTTGGTAAATTCCATTGATTTGAATGGACCTACTCTAACTGTGACTTACTTTAGCATAGCATATTTACTACACTAAACAATAGGATTTGGGCCTATTTCTCCTTTGAATTTTTCTATTTATCTTTGCTATCAAATATTATAATAACAGTTTTCACCAAGATAATATTACAGTTGATCTTTTAGAGTTTTTTTAAATATCCCTCTTTACGATTCTTTTATTTCACAATTTCTGTCAGTCTGCATGGATTATTTCTGAGTTCCACCATTTGCACCAAAAGCTTCTTCAGTTTTCTAATGCCTTCTCTTATATTCCATATGTCATTGATTACAGCCTCATTATCTAATACAATTACTTTTATATTTCATTTATTCTTTTATCATTGCCATTGTGGTCATTTTTCACCTGTTCACATTTATGCTTTAATTTAATCATGTTAATACAATGCATAGTTTGTTTTATCTCATGTTTTATTGCTTTTCATTAGTATCCTCTATTTTTCACCTTTTCCTGTTATTTCAATAAATTTGAAATTGATAAGCACTGTAGAAGATGAAATGTATGGAAATACACTAGTGGTGCAAACATTTTACTGCCAGCCTAGTCTGACTGTATCTAATTTTTAACTTTGAAGTAAATTCTCTTCATTCACAAGACCAATGACACAGCTAAAAATAAGAAAAGCTGAAATGGCTCATCATGCCACCCCTACACACATTTATTTGCAAACAAGCACAGAAAACATTTTTAGCTGATGAAAACTTTTCTGCGTGTACCAGAAGACAAACAAAAAGAAAATAGATTTTGGGATTGACATCCCCAGAGCTTAGCTACATTTAGTAAGACTAATCTTAAACTGGATATTATACTTTTTCTAAAACAATAATAGATTACTCAAATTAATATTATTATAAAAAAAACTTATGCTGGAGCACTGTTTCCCCTCATAATGGATGCTGACTGAACAGTTTCCATCTTGGGTTAAGCATGAAGAAACCACCAGGAGGCTCAGTCTGTGAAGTCACACTGATAGATAGATTGATTTTTATTACGGTCACAGACCAGCAGATATATTCAAATATGATTATTATAATATATATTAGTATAACACAAAAATACAATTAAAATATACAGCCTATTACAATATGAATACATTTTATATAATCTCCAGCTTCAAAGACTGAGGAGATGAGTAAATTAAGTCAGTAAACTTTTTACCACCTTCCATCTCATCATCATAAGTAGTGTGACATATAAAGTATATGGTGGCCAATACACACCATTACTAAACATCTGGCATTGCTTTAATCAGTGAAAGAACTCACACTGAAATTTGCATTGCTGTTCACACATTATGGCCGAAATACTGTTGAGTAAGTTATGGCATGAACGGCTGATCACTTCATCAGACACAGCAAGTATTTGGAAATTTAAAATTTTCAATTTCTCTTCTGACGGTAGCAGGCTCCCATATAATCATTTTAGTCATTGAGACACCATGGGGGCTGTGAATTAGGAGATAGAAGTTTCACTGAAAATCACTGCCAATGGTAGAATCATCCTGAGGGCAGTCATTTTTTGGTAATTAAAGACTTTCCTCTCCCACCTCATGGCCCAATGGCTTCCTGATATGGAAGGTGATTACACAGGAATCTCGAGACTCTCAGAGGAGAAATCAGAAAATTCCCACAGTTGATGACATTGTTAGCCTTACATAGCATCAAGAAACAGGATGTCAATGTATGAGATACATGTTTTTTCATTCTGTGCTGATAGTTAAATGCAGAGGATCCAGTTACAGAACTGCTGAATAGCTCAGTAATTTAGGTATCTGGGTGCCGAGACAGAGGTTGCGTTAGATTCCCCATTGTGCCTCATAAATAAGGGCTGGACTGGATGATCCATAAAGTCCCTTCTAGCTCTGCAGTTCTAAGATGATGGTGATTATTATTATAATAACTACAGCACGAGAATTACAATAGTTCCCATGGAAGGATGCAATTAATGATTTTATAAAATACAGTATCAATTACACAACACAAGTCTTAATACCTACAGCATCTGAGCTTCCTGTTTCAGTACCTAGATAGGCAGGAGGCATCTGTACTTTGCTGAGCACTTTGAAGCATGTCTTTAAGGCATGAATTAGGTCTGGTAAACTAAGAATCTCCATATTTTCAAGAAGGGACTGCACTATGCAGCTGAGCATCTGAGGCAGATATAAAGACTGCACTTCGGAATAAAGTTCCTAAAAAAAGCAAAGAATTCCAAGTAAGCAAATGGTGAAGATGTGGCATATTTAACTGAAAACTGATTTCTGTACACTTTAAATTTGTACTTCTTTCAAGAAAAGAGAAATTGCTCTTTTTTGTAGCCCAAAGAACAATTAAAGAACAAGAGACAAAATTCACCACAATCAATCAGGATGTTATTTAAAAATTCTAGAACGTTCCTGCTCAAGTTCTAGGTATGTTACTGCAGACCTGTCAATCTTCTCTCCAAAACCCCTGACACACAGTCTCCAAGAAAAGCCTATCCTTTCACAGCTCGTAACAAAAAATAGTCACAAAAAGCAAAGACGTCAGTTCTCTTCATTCACAAGTTTACAGATAACATGTTTTCTAGACTGACAAAATTGTTCCACCATGTTTTCATTACAACACACCACAAAAATTCATGTTACAATGTATTTTGTAGCTTTTTATATCACAGCGTATCAGGCCAAAACAAAAAGAGAAGACTAAAAAATAAAGAAGACTAAAATGTTAAATGTATTTTGTAGCTTTTTATATCACAGCATATCAGGTCAAAACAAAAAAAGAAAACTAAAAAATAAAGAAGACTAAAATGTTGTGGCGTCTTAAAATTGCTGTGCTTTAATGTGAGCTTTTGTGGACAAGTCCACTTCCTCAGACACAAGAGAGGGACTAAATGGCTAATATTTATATATGGCCCCAAAATAAAAAGTATGTCTTTTTCCTGGGTACAAGTTGTTGATAGTCTGGCATTTCACACTTGGCAATGACCTTTAAGACCCCCTGTTGATATTCAGTTCCCCTACCATTAAGGGTATCAAAGGTCTCCGATGGGTATCACAAGTCTCTGATGTTTCTGTTGTGACAGAGTAAGCAAATTACTCTTGCAGTAAAAGCCAAACAAAATTACAGCTGGGAAAAAACATTTTTAAAAGCAGTGAATTAATATGGATAGCTCTAGAAATGCACACAAATTTGACTTACCAAGGGTATCACATCTAGAAGGAATACCAGGAGAGTGCAGAGTTCTGAAACCGTGGCAAGAGTGACTATATGCTTAGCTGGAGGTTCTCCCTGCATAGACATATTTCTGCAACAAAATGGAAAACAGAATTTCGATAACCTTTTCATCCATGTTCCACTATATTGATAATCTTTGATGTTTTTGCCACTTTTAATAGAAAATAGTTTTAAAATAGTGACCAAGATCCAATTGGATACTTCGTGCTGGCAAAGCCTTGAAGAAGCAACTTTCCTTTTTCCACACAGAATATGGGATATTCTCTGGAGGACTGGGGAAACCTCAAGAGCAGAGTTTGAGGAGATTGAGGAGTAAGAAGATTGAGGAGTAAGAAAGGGAGAATGCCTTGTTGCAGGTGCCAGACAGAGAAGAAATTAGTTTTAAAGAAGAAGAGGCTAGAGATGGAAGACCAGATTTTCTTGCTCTCTTCTGCTGGATCAAAGTTACATGCTACTGAGTTAATTTTTAATCAAAATAACCAGGGTACATTAGCAGATCTAAGAGTTCATAAGAAAAAGAAAACGGCAAAATGTAAGATTTATAGAAGACGGTGGCTGAAGCCCTGTTCACAGCTCTGCACGTACAATGCAAAGTTGGGCAATATAATTGGATAAATTGTGGTAAATTGAGAGTGCTATTCACTAAGCACTTCTATATGGATGTTGCTCCACAGTCATGACAATAGCTGTGTGATGATTGTGCCATGAAATTGTGCAATCCTTGTTGTCCGGGCATAATACCCAACACATACAGATTACATGAAGATGAGAAGGATCTCAACCAGTGTATGATTATGTGAGGAAAACCAAGACAATAATATATATTTCTTTAAAAATGTCCTGGGATTAATTACATTTTGCTCTCTTATTTAATCAGGTTTTAATCTTCCTCAGATTATCTTAATTAAAGCAACAATATAAAATGCATAGCTACCTGAAGCAGTCTTCAAAACATCTGGTCATATAATCCCACAGAAAATCTGTGCTTAAGGAGGTGATCAGCAGATTAACTGTTTTAACAATCTCAGATGCATTCTTGTTTTCCTTGATTGTGCTAAAATGAGAGTCCACAAAATTTCATAACCAATCAGTAGATAAAAATATATTTGAACTATTATGAACATTAGAGCAAATATTTCATTTAAACCATAATTTTTTTAAAAAAAAATTGACTTGGAGAAAGGGAGTATATTAGTCAGTCAATCAATCAATCCCTTTTCAGACACAATGGTACCAAAACTCGGAACTGAAGATTTAAAATAAAACTGAAATTCCAAGCTCATCCCAATCTGAACTTCTGCAGGCAAGCAAAGACCTTCCTCTTTAGGCAGGCTCTTCCTTTGTGACTGGCATCCTGAGGGTTTTTTAAAATGGATTCTTGTACTCCGATGTTTTTACATGTGTTTTTTATTGACCATTTTAATATAATACTTGTTTAATCCTTTTCTAATATTTGTGTATTCGTTGTTTTTAGCTTTTAAATATTGTTTTTTAATTGTTGTAAGCCGCCTTAGGTCCTTTTACAGAGAAAAGCGCGCTGAAAATATTTTAAATAAAAATCAATAAAAACCCCATACCCACCTTATCAGAGAAGTTAGTTATGGTTCCAGTCTTCTCTGACACACTCACTCTGCTAATTTTCCCACTAAGACTTAAAATGCATAGAGGCTCTGGGGATGCCATGGCCACTTCCCATTAGAATCTGCATGCCTCAGGTCTAAAAATCTGTGTGTAGTTTCATTTCTATGGGGGCGTGAAGGTCAAGGAAATACATGCCACTTTGATCACTGCTGCACATTGACTACCACAACATCTCGGCTATAAATAACTATGGGGAAAAGCCTATAATTCCAGTGGATCCCAATGATCTCATCAGGCCACCTGCTTCTATAGGAAGCAGAATGGATAAATATGAATGATATTTTAATTTTTAATTCACCATTTAATTATTTTTAAAATCATACTTTCTTAAACTGTCCAATGAAAAATAAGATTTTAAAAATTTAAATAATGATTTAAAAAAGTTTGATTTAAATCAAATCCACCCTGGTAAGCACTGTATTTCCAGTAGGTTGTTGTAGCCAGGATGTAACTGAAACTGCCTTTAAAAGGTCTTTCTTATTACTTCAACAGTTAAGAACAGGAGAAAAATAAACAGAAAGAAATCAGTAAACACATGTCACAAAAATGTTTTATCTACATATGATGATGTTAACACAGTCCAAAAAGTCACTGAAAATGACTTATTGCATACCTTGAAAGGACACTGCCAATTTGGCTATAACTAAGCTTAAGATCACAACCCAATGTATCCTCACAATAACGATAGAATGCTCTGATCACTTCAAGAAACAAATCAGCAATAACTGGTGGCCCTGCAAGAAAAAGAAATTAATTGAAGAATTAAATTCTGACTATAATTCATGGTAACTTTTAATTGCAAAATATATGGATAGCAAACAACTTCTTAGCATTAGGAAACTAAACCAAAAATATTAAACTGGTTCCAGTTAAAACAAGTCACAAGGTCATTCTTTAAGCTATGTTCTGAGTGTATAAACTATGATGCCTCTTTTCTTGCTATATTCATAGGCGTCCTTCAGTCTTGAGAGACTACGGTAACGTGCTCTGTATGAAGGACTTCGACGCTGTATGCGAAGCTGGAGTGTACTCTCCAGAGCACAAATATGGAGGATAGGCTGTTACCCAACCAGCAAATCCCCCCTCTCCACATCGCTGAAATAATACAATGGAAAGGCAACTGGGTCCAGCGATGTCGCAGGAGTTGCCAGAATGACATGAACTGCCTCCGGGATTCCGGCTCCGGATTTTGCCTCGAGGTTTACTCCTGAAGCCTTTTCCATCAGTGGATATAGCCACAAGGTGGTGGAGGTTTGAAATCTGAGTTTTCCTTCTCCTAGATCAGCTGCCTTCCCAGGCTGACGAGCCCCACCTACCCAGGCTGCTCCCTTGCCGCATGGGTGATGGCGGAAATCCGCCACACTGTATTTTTCTATTAATTTTCCTGAGAAACTCTTCTCTTACCTATTTCAGGTTTGTCAAGTAGACTTATAAGAATGCGAAATGGTTTCAAATATGCATGCTGCTGTTCTTCCAAGTCAAATTCTGCCGACTTCTGATATAGTAGTTCTATTAGGGCCTATTAAACAACATAAAAACATTGAGACTGGAAACAAAATTAGCACCGGATGTGGCCAGAGACCTTTGGCATATAAGTTAAATAAATAAATAAATAAATAAATAAATAAATAAATAAATAAATAAATAAATAAATAAATTCCTTTTGCCATTCGTAGAGCTTCATAAATTATCAAAATGCAGTCAAAACCCAGTAAAAAGGAAAAGGTGGGTGAACTAAGCCATCCAAAGCCATCTTCAAAACTCATCAGCAACCTAATACCACTGTTAACTTGCAGCTGAGGGGAAAACATAGTATCTTCTGTCACTGCATCAGATATTCTTGTGTAAAAGGGGTAGAGGGAGTTCAGCCCAGAAAAAGTGAATCCTCAATGCTAAATCCTTTGATAATCATTAAAAATGTACATGAGTTTCTCTTCAGTAGTTGTCTTCTCACAGATCTCTTCTTTGCTCTCATTTTCATAGCATGAAAGGACTACTTTGAATGAACAAGAGAAACACTTTTCAGCTCAAAGGACAAATCCAATTTCAGAAAGGTTGTGTGGGATGTTGGTCAAATGCAAATGAATGGGATCAAAATGTCAGCACATTTAAGGCTTAGCCTCTTATTATTAGCAACAAAGCCTTAGGACTTACAGTGAACAATGGTATAAAATCTGGAAACCACCAATATGATGGTGTCATGGGGAAAGAACATAGCCATCTGGGCAACTCCAAAGAGATTTGTGATCCCAGAAGAGCTGGACTGGGTCCCAGGGACTCAAGCTAAGTTGCAACATGTCAACAGTACAATATAACCATAAGTATGGCAATATTATTTTCTCTTACAGCACAGATGCTGGGATTACAATCAGATGGTAGCATCAATATTCTAATAGTTGTTGTGGGTTTTTCGGGCTCTTCGGCCGTGTTCTGAAGGTTATTCTTCCCAACGTTTCGCCAGTCTCTGTGGCCGGCATCTTCAGAGGACAGAAGTAGCACTCTGTGCTCTGGTGCAATTTGTTTGGGAGTTGAGTATTTATGGCTGTGAGATCAGCTTTTGTCCTTTTCAGGAGATGGGTGATTATGGTGATCAGTGTGTTTTTGTTGTGGGTGTATTGTTGTGATAAGGAGGAGAGATTATCTGGCACTGTGATTGATGAGTGTTGTTAGCTGGTCTTTTATGTGTAGTGATCACTGTTGTGGCTGGGTAGAGTTCATTGACCTTTTGCAGGCTGGATACTGAAATACTGGACAACACCAGCAATCATTACGTTAGACTGCACAGGGAAGCCATTGAAATCCACAAACGCCAGCAGAGCTTCAACAAAAAAGAAGAAAATTTAAAACTCAACAAAGCTTGGCTCCCAGCACTGAAAAATACAGCCTGCAAAAGGTCAATGAACTCTACCGAGCCACAAGGACCGGTGATCACTACACACAAAAGACCAGCTAACGACACTCATCAATCACAGTGACAGATAATCTCTTTACCTTATCAGAACAATACACCAACAGCAAAAACACACTGATCACCATAATCACCCATCTCCTGAAAAGGACAAAAACTGATCCAACAGCTATAAATACTCAACTCCCAAACAAACTGCACCAGAGCACAGAGTGCTACTCCTGTCCTCTGAAGAGACCGGCCACAGAGATTGGCGAAACGTTAGGAAGAACAACCTTCAGAACATGGCAAAAGAACCCGAAAAACCCACAACAACCATTAGATCCCGGCCATGAAAGTCTTCGCGGATACAATATTCTGATACTTGATTTTATGAGCAGTTGAGCTTCCAGCTTGGTTTATTGCCCTGTTTAAGCAGTAACAGCCACCAAGAACAGCAAACATCATTTAGATTTACATACTGTACCCTAATAACTTCTTAACTGGCTTACGTTGGCTTCAATCCTGTTTCTTAGCATAGTAGGGGTGTGATCAGATGGCCATTTGGTTTACATTTTGGGCCACCTTTAGCGCTGTCTGATTCCATTTACTTTCTAGTTACTATACAACATACAGGAAACCTCAAACCAGCCAGATCCTGCTTCATGCCCATCTGGGTTCTTTTTATTCTGTGGCAAGGATATTCCCTTTTTGGAGCTCACCTGGGGCAATGTAATCACATTCAGTGTTATTCTTTTCAGTGTAAACGTGACCTTGCTTCCCCATCTAATCACACCACAGGTTGCAGCCAGAGTAGGTCTACTGAATCAGTAGGGAATTTGGTGAGTCCACTCTTTATAAGTTTCACTCCTTGATAAGTTTCACACAGGCCTATGCTGGTGTGACTTACTATGCTAAGCAATAGGATTTCAGCCGCTGCTTATTATAAAAATAATTTAAAGGTAAAATAAGACATAGCATGAAGAACAGCATAAATACAACAGAAAATAAATGTAACAACAAACTCAAAGTTGAAAACACAGATTTTAAAAATGAGAGACTGATTTTATAAGTTATTTAAAAGGCCACAGTGAATAAAAATTGTCTTTATTTGCAACAGAAAATCTCAGAAAGATAGTGTCACATCAACCTCAAGGAAGGGCTCTCCTTAAGTGGATGCCTTTATGGAAAAGTTCCTCTCTCTGCTAATCAGCAACCTTCCTTCTTTTGGCAGAGAAACCCAGAAGAGGCCTCCTGATTATCTTAATGTGTGGCTTAGTTTGAGAGAAAGCCATTATCCAAGTAAGCTGGCTCTAAACTGTTTAGTACTTCACAAAATTAAAAGCATCACTTAAAAGTGAGACCAGAAATGAACTAGGATCCAATATCTGATGAAGTGCCAGGCATTTGGTTAAACTGCTCAGTCCCAGTCAATATGCTTGTATGTCTGTTCTGGACAAACTGCAGAACAATTGCTCATGCACTACGTATTTTGTACTAAACCATTAAAATTTAATATTATCTTTTAAAAGAAACAAGCTTTAAAAAGAACAACAGGCTATTCACACAACGTCCTTTTGAAATGGATAGAGAATCTCCTGAAAAGTAACCTGGCACAGAGAATGTGTTATATATTATCAACTGAGACAAAACTACACTACTTTAATACATACTAAGCAGCTGACAGGTAAAATATAGGCTGTCTTCTTCAAGGTATATCATACACACTTACTTCAACTAAAAGATCTTTCGAATATTTTCCAAAAAAATACAGTGCATGGTCTTCCAAGGACATCGAAATAGATTCATCTGGTACATAAGTACCTCCTTTGATATCAGAACCTAAATATGCAACATTTTCAGGACCAAAAAATGAAAATAGATTATATATTATAATGTATACAACATCATATGCTTTTAAATGAATGGTATTAGTGATTATTACAGGAGTTAAGCTGTTTGGATCATTCTGCATCAGCTATTTTCAGTGTGGAATTTTCAGAAGTCTTTGCATCATTTGGCCACAGAGGACACTGATAGAAAAATTCTCTCTCTAATTTTATCTGACTTTCTCTTGTTTTTCTGGAGTTACAGACACATGTCATTTCATACAGGAAGGTATAGAAAACCTGTAATGCATCTTGCTACTACAGAGGCAGCTAGCCTTTTATCTGTAAGAAACATGCATTGAAGAAAGACCAAAGAAAATGAAGACTCCAACTCATGACTAATCTAAAATTGTATTTTTTAATTTAAACCATTATAGGGCCACACCAGAAGTCTTATTCTTCTACATGGCAAACTTCCAAGAAAAAAAGAACAAGGAACTGGACATATACTATCATGTGAGTGCCTATTTATCCTAAGGACAAGATATAATTTTTAATAAACACAATATCATAATTCTGCATGAAAAAGTCACATGATAGCAGAAACCCTTTTCCTAGACCATGCACTGTATCACTGGTTGACATTCTGACATCCTGTCCCCAATATGTGAAGTACAAATCTCAATCCCATGACATGGGCCCACCTGTTTTAAAGCAAATGTTTTCAATTTTTAACAGTTTATATAGAGAGTGCCTGAAGACAAGCTAAAAATCAACTGCATATGATAGAATATTCAACCAGCTGGTTTTACCAAAATTTTCTTCACCACTTCATAAAACGATTCCTTTTAGTAGACAAAAGGCTTTATTGATTTATGATTTTACCCTTGGTGCTCCGAGCCAAGAACTCCATTGTTCTGATAGGTATCTTGCTGAAGGAAGCTACTCTTTACAGGTCACTAGAGAACACAGCTGTGCAAACACAAAAGACTTCTCTTTATTAGAGAAGTCCTTGTTTGCACAGAAATTTTCTAAACACGCAATTAGAAAAGATCTTCATTTAATTTCTTCAGACAACTCTATTAGCAGCTAACTTATCAGACACTAGTATTTAAGTTTGACTGTATATTAATTTAACATCCTGACATATGTCAAGATTTTGTAAAGGGTATCTCTTTTGTAAAGAGTATCTGTAATATGCTGTTTATTAGCTCAGATGATAGCTGCAACATTTTAAAGCTGTATTTCAAGGCTATGCAGTGAAGCTCATTCCAACTGCAAAAATATACACACCAACATTGCGATTGTAAATTGTACAATACCTAATAACCAAGCATATAACCTTCGGTTTAAAGACATGTCTCTTCTTAACAGAGTTTGAGCAGCTGCTGAGAGAAGATGGACTACATCAGACCGAGACAGTGGAACAGCGCTTTCACTGGGATCCTAAACAAAGAGGAAAACGCAGATTTGATGGACACATACACTGCCTTTTCGTTCCTTCTGACTAGCAAAAGAGATTGTAAAAAATCCAGACCTATAATTAGTTAATTGACAAAACTATTCTCATCACCACATAGAAAAGTACCAAGCTACTGACAAGCAAGAATAGGGCATATTATTATTATTATTGTTGTTATTGTTGTTATTGTTGTTATTGTTATTGTTATTGTTATTGTTATTGTTATTGTTATTATTGTGTCTATTTTTGCCTTTGCCATTGTGAAAATTCAGTGGCACTAGATTTGCCTATTTATATTTATTTCTTCAATTTGTATCCTGCTCCCATTAGTGCTGAGGTGCTGAGGCACTCCTCTGGGAGATTACAACACATATAATACAGAACAAAAACAAAGATAAAAACATTAAAGCAATAATCCTAAAAACAGATGCCACAAACTGTCGGTGTGAAAAACCTCCCTGAAAAGCAATGTGTTTAATTGCTTCCAAAATGTCCACAGGGAGGGGGCTAGGTGCTCCTCTGTAAGCTGGTTCCATAAATTTGGAGGCCACGTGAAGAAGGCCCTACCTCTTGTAGAGAATTCATGGGCCTCTCTTGGAGGAGCCTCAACTGGGATGGGTCGGGTGGATGACATTAAGGAAAGACGCTTCAAGAAGTAACATGGGCCCAAACCTTTGAGGGCCTTGTATGTGATTGTCAAAACTTTGAAACTGATCCAGGACACAACAGGCAACCAGTGGAGGCAAGCCAGAACCAGAGTGATGCAGTCAAATGTACTTGCACCCATCACCAGTCTGGCTGCCACATTCTGGACCCACCGACATCTTCAGATCAGACTCAAGGGAAGCCCCATGTAGAGAGCATTGCAGTAGTCAATCCAGGAGATGACCAGGGCATAAATGCATAGGGATGAACCAGCTAAAATCCTTCAATAATACTATACAAACAATTATTCTTGATTGTAAAAAAAATCCCCCAATAAATGATTGCATCTTCTTCCATGCCTGCAGCAACCTTCGTGGAATGCCTTGTGATGCTACCCTTGCATGATACTTGCATTTATTTGTAGCAGCCCTCAGGGCTGGGCCACAAATAGGTAAACTGAATTTGGTTGCTTACCAAAGTTGAGTAAAATGGGAAGAAGAAGAGAACCACTTCCAGTGTGTTTCTTTGTACTAGAACATTTGAATCCAGCATTGATACACAAAAAGCCTTGATCTGTAATAAATGTAAAAGCAGCATCTTATACAACAACACAGAAAGAAAAGTGACCTAACATGACACAGAATACAAATTTATTGCTTTTGCTTAGAAGGTTTACACTGTCAAAAACTAAACATTCTATCTCTGGTTATGCGTGACAGTCAAAGAGCACTGACTGACTGCTATACGAGAGGTATATGCAGGGAGGGAGAAAAACCTTTCCCCAACTTTAACTAGAGGTGGTGTTTAATTGATGGTGTTCATTTCCTAAAATTTTCAACCAGTGTTATTTTGACAGGACTACATCAAAATACTATAAATATAAAATTTCAATAATTCGACAGCAAATAGTATTGAAATGTTGACATTTTGGATTAATTTGAATAGAGACATCTTGCTCAAAACATCTACAAGAGCCCCTGCACTATAAAGTACATGAGTTTCCAAAGCTACTATTGGCAAGCGCCAGAGAGCCATTATTTTGAATACTGTCCCAAGTGGACACTTACTCTACTCCTGAGCAGCTGCTCTAACCAAGAAGAGTAATTGTTTTCCTCATAAAAACAACCAGGACAAGAACCACATTGAAAAACATGGAAGTCTGCCCTCCAATACCTTATCGCGAAGACAGCGGTATTGCTTCCCTCAGTGCAGGATTAGTATTCAATCTGACTACTGTATGCCCCATGCATTGGCTATTTACAAACCCATTAAAAACCCACATTACCAGTTGTGCAACCTACTGTGAGCTTTGTGTCAGTGCCCAGCATATAATTCTGCTGTTTTCCAGACACTTCTCTGTTGATGTGACTAACAACAAAAAGGGATGCAGGTAGTCTGATGGAAGGGCTGGTTAATACACTCCCCCACAGTGCCGAGTAGAATACTTCTTTACCAGTTACTAGAGACAACTTCACAAGCAAAGCATCTGTTCTGTTAAAAAAAGAGGAATTGATGTTTAGTATCATTAGCAATTCCATTAAATCTGCTGTAGATTAAATGGAATGGGGCCCATTAAATCTACAGTGCTGCCTTGCATATGTTTTTGAACTTCAGCTTCATTTTACCATTTCACCGAACCATTATTGTTTGTGTTATCAGGCAAATAAGTTGTCATTACAGATCACACAGAATTTATTCCCCCATTTTTCCATTTATCACTCTATTAATAATTTGCTACAAGTTTTTTTTTTTTAAAGGGGGCAAGGAAGTCCTAGGATATACTATTTTGGCAGCTGAGTGACAAATCAAGGACAGGGACTGGCCTAAATCTGAACTAACACATGAACAAACCAAATTGGGATTGTCACTGTAGCGGTATTTCAGTTCCATTTGTCAACCTCTCATCTAACCCAGTGGTTCTTAACCTTTGTTACTCAGGCGTTTTTGAACTGCAGCTCCCAGAAACCCCAGCCAGCAGAGCTGATGGTGAAGGCTTCTGGGAGTTGCAGTCCAAAAACATCTGAGTAACAAAGGTTAAGAACCAGTGATCTAACCTACATATAGCATATTTCCTTCACCATTTGCATGTGCAATGGCTATTCAAATTATAGCACAATGGATGGTGCAAAATAAAGGGAACTGATTTTAGGATTGTACAGCAGGAAAGTCCTTCTGTGTGCCAAATCTATCATGTGCTGAAGTCTCAATGAAGACAAGAACATGCTACAATATTACATATGCATGTACTCTTTCTTCAATTATTAATCTTGCTTTTTGTTATTTAATTTTATTAATTTTTATAAAATAATGCTACTAGCTTATAGCATTACCATGAAAATGGCCTGTCTGGGCCATTTTTTCTTAGATCTTCCACCTTCCAAGACCCATGTAAGTTATGAGGAAGACAGAATATTTGAGTCATACTATAATTGTTCACATGTGAACACATTAAGTAGATGCTCTCCTTCCACTGTAGGAAAAAATTTAAGCTCAAAAGCCACCATAATATTGTACACAATATGTACAAGCAGTCTTGCTTCCTTTTGAAAAATACAGAGTCACTGAGAAGGAATCACATTTTTGAGGACTAAAACTTAAATGTCTTCTTGAAATGTCAAGAGTTTCAAAAAATCTTTTGTTTGTTTGTTTATGGAATACAGGAGGTACGGCACAAAATTATGATTGCTATTTTTGTTATTTCCCCATCAAGATTTTGTTTTACATTAGCTATTGCACGTGCCTCTACAGTACCTTTGGTACAATCTTTTCATTGCTGCTTTCAAGTATATTTCGGTACAGGGATATTTCCACAGAATAACTTTCTAATTTTTATCACAAAGTAACATACTGTTTATATTTAATATTGTGCAACAAAAGCATTCCCTGTTGAATGCAGACCTGAATACTAAAAGGATATTTCACTCCCAAAGGCCAAAAGGATATTCTAATTCAAATATTGAAAGCATATCTTAATTCCAAATCCATGTGAACTTGTCCTTCCTATTTTTTCTTTGAATTGCTCATCTTCTCCTACATCATCAACAACCTTTGAAAGACATGCACCCCTAAAATCTATACTAATAAATACCAACTGGATATGGATTCTGTTCCTTCAGAACATGGTAAAGTTCAAGTGAAATTTATTCTTTTTTATAAAGCAGGAGTTACTTACCTATCATAGATTTCTGATCCTTCTTCCAATCCAGGCAGAAGTCCTATTAAGAAGGCTTGAATACTTGGCAGGAGTGACTTTTGGAGCGGAAGAAAATACTTCTCGTAGAGACCAAGAAGAACAGGCCTCACAGACATTGCTGCATTTGCCAGCAAGGGGAACAAGCCTGAGCTGAGGGTGGGGGAAGAAAACCAGTTTGTTAATTGTTTTATTTTTTAAGAACAAGGAAATGGAGTCAGCTATTCACTATATTCATATACAGTACTAATCTATCAGAATGAGCTGCAATGACTCTTAGGCTCATGTACTCCTCAGTCCAGAAAGGCCATTAGACCTCTGGAACATTCTATTTCAGTCTGTAATTTGTTGCAACACCAAAACTCAGGCAACCTATGTTGAATTTTAAATATCATTTTTTAAAAAACCAGTTAATCTTAGTCTAGAGTAGTAGTTCCCAACCTTGGATCCCAGATGTTCTTCTACTAAAACTCTCACAAGCCTTCACCACAAGCTGTGTTGGCCAGGATTTCTGGGAGTTGCAGTTCAAAAACATCTGGGGACCCAAGATTGGGAACCATTACTCTAGAGTTAACTTGGCTTACTTTATCAAACCATGGCCAACACCCTGGTGTGATTTTATATCAGTGTAATGCAAATATCAAGATGGGCGGCTGAGAGGCCTAATGCCGAGGGAGGCCTGAAGAGAAAGAACAAAAAAGTGGGCATTCTTGGCAGTGGCCCCTTGCCTCTGGAACAATCTCCCCACAGAAATTTGTCTGGCTCCCTCGCTGGGTGTTTTTAAGAGCCAACTCAAAACCTGGTTCTTTAGGCAGGCCGTCCTTCCTGTCAATGCCTAATTTATTTGTTATTTTCAATTGTATGAATGTTTATTATTATTATTATTATTATTATTATTATTATTATTATTATTATTATTGATGGGTGGGATATTAATTAATTAATTAAAATTGCTGTAACATTTGAAGAACATTTTCTCCATACCCTAAACAGTGGCTAATTGAAAATTTTGGCCAAATCCTATTAGTTTTGCCCACAAATATAGCACAGATGAATAACTTTTGGAAGTAAATTGTCTCAAGTTAAGAAATCAGTGCAGACATTACCTGTTGTGTATCAAGTCAAGTGACCCCATGTGCAACAGATAATTTTACACTGACTTCTTGACGCGATTTACAATTTACGGTAGGGACAAATTACAGTGGGGTCTCTACTTAAGAACTTAATCCGTATTGGAAGGTGGTTCTCAAGTTGAAAAGTTCTTATGTTGAATCTGCATTTCCCATAGGAATGCATTGAAAACCATTTAATCCGTATCTGCTCTTTTCCGTCCATAGAAACTACAGTGGAACCTCTACTTAAGAACTTAATCCGTTTTGGAATGGTGTTCTTAAGTTGAAACGTTCTTAAGTTGAAGCAAAATTTCCCATAGGAATGGACTGAAAACCAATTAATCCGTTCTGGCTGTTTTTTTGTTATGCAGAGGTGCGTTCGTACATTGAAGCATTAGTTCCCATAGGAACTAATGCAAAGCTGGTTAATACGTACTCTATCACTAGGGGGAGAATTTTTTTTAACCTAAGATGACCTAAGGTTAAAAAAAGAGCAGGAAAGGTTTTTTTTCCTGTTCTTATCTTGGATTTCTGTTCTCAAGTAGAAACAAAATTTAGCAAATGGATCAGTTCTTAAGTTGGATTGTTCTTAAGTAGGGACGTTCTTAAGTAGAGACCCCACTGTAGTCAACTGGGATTAATCTAAAACAGAAGTGGAACCTTCCAATCCTCTCCCTGTGGTTAGAACTGGAAAAGGGGAGCCGCATGCAAGGCCAAGACAAGTTGCAGCTTTAAGTTGTTAGCCTTTTTAAAAAAAATTAGAAAACTTACCTGTACAAAAATAAGTCCTTTGCAAGCCATTTGGTGCCAATGATTTTAAATATTATTTCGTAAGTCTCTAAAGCTTTTAGATGTACTCCACTAGGTAAAGCTGGATGTAAACATTGAGACAATCTTTTGCTGATAATTAGGCGTCTTGGTAGAAGAGAGTACTTCAAATTGCTTTGAAGAGCCTGTAAAACAACAGGTGGGATTTTGCATCATTACTTACAATTTACATTAAGACTGATAAGGAAAACGTGGAAAAGCTCTATCAAAGTTTATGTGAAAGTTTCATACACTGTCACCGTCATCATTGGAGTTCTCCAGTTCAGTCATCAAAATTCTCACCAAGCATCACACATGCAACTTATTATTCATTATTTATTTGTTTCATTTATATGCCGCATTTCTCCACATGATAGGACTCTTCATATACTTAAATCGTAAAACATTATTTTAAAAAAATTACAAGACCAAATACTTCAAAAACAATCAAAAACTTTTGGCAAGTTCTTACCAGAGCAATTGTTGTAATTCATAAAGCACCAAATACTTACCTGGGAGTAAACAGAATGAATCTAAAACAAGCAATATTTTGGAAGTGTCATCCTAATCCATAGAATATGCCAATGCATTACTATGAGGCCCCCAAAATGGAGGCCTTAGTGGGAGTGCCGTCGCTCTCGAAGAGAACCCTTCACACTCAGACATCCCCACCTCCGTCTCCAACGCGTCGGGAAGAGAAAGGCGTGGAGACCCCAGATTGGGAACAAGAGGTCGCCGAACCTCTTACTTTAAATAAGGGGGTAGATACGGGAGATTTGGAGGCGACTATGAAAGGGTTAACCCTTACCCCGGAACCCGGGGGATCTTTGGCGGGAAGACGGAGGGAGGAGATTGAGGCAGCGGCGGGAGATATAAGAGGGAAGCCGGCGGAGATACCGGGGGGGTGGGAGTGGATCTGGATGGAGGATCCCTGGACCCACAAGTGGGAGCAGGTCCGTGTCCCCCATGAAGAGGCAGAGAAACGCCGTCAGCTTGGGCTGAAGCCTCACCCTTCGTATTGGGGCGAGACTGAGGCCAAGGAGTGGAGAAGGAAACTCCAGGAAGAAAGGGAAGCTGTAGCCCGAGAGCTAGAAAGGAAAAAACAATGGCATATAGCTGAATTGAGGAAGCTGGGGGGTTACCCGGCCCCTGGGGAGTCGAAGGAGGAGACGGATCGTCCTGGGGTGAGTGGAGCGGGGATGAAGAGACTTTACCGCTGATATCTCTGGACGAAGAAATAGACCCTGGGCAGGGGACTGTGCCGTTATTAACAGGACCTTGGAACCCAGAGACGACAAACCCTTTTATAAATGGTTTATGGACCCCGTTAAAGCCGAGCAATATGTTGCAAGAATCTTTGAACCCCTTTTTAGGGGTGAACCCTGTTGGAATTGATGTTGCAATAAATACTGAACCATTTGATTTACCTCAACCGACTCGGCCTTTATTTGAAGAACAGACAGCCCCGAAAACTGAACCCTCACAATTACACTGATAAAATCCCTGGTATAAATGACATAGGGCTAAATGTTATTGCAGGTCCCAACTAAAGTAGACTCAGTCAATCAGTGGGGGATTTATATGTGTTGACCCATATATTCAACGGGCCCCATTCATTCAATGGATCTATTCTGACTAGGACTAACAATTGGATTTACATCACAGATCTACAGGGCAACAAAAATCTGTTGCTTCCTTCCTCTGTGAGGTATGAGAGCCAATTGGAAGTATCCAGGAACAAATGCCAACCTAGGGACAAGCTCTTGTTCCTTGATGACTACTGCATTTACAAGATAACAGGGTAGATGATTTACATCAGTGATTTTATGTAAACCCATACTGACCAAAAATAATAATAAATTATCACGAACAAACAGGATAATGTGAGGCAGCCTTTCCCTGGTGAAAGGAAGTAGAACAGGCCTTCTTGACAGTTCAAGATTACAGACAAAGCTGTTTGGCACTTTAGAAAAATTAGTTGTTCCTGCATTTTTCAATATTATAAATAAAATTGAAGTACAGTACTGCACAAATTAATCCAATGGTTCTCAGCTTTTGGCATTCCAGATGTTCAGAACCACAACTCTCAGGACACTTGACTGCTGACCACGTTGGGAAATAGAGCTTAACAACGTCTGGGACCCATGTTGGGAATGTTTGCACCCATACAGATTTAAAATGTGACATTCTGTGACACTCAGATTCACACGTTATTCCTCTTAAGTTAAAAGCAAATATATCCTTTGAGTCGGTTCGAGGTATTTGCACAAGGTAGGAGATTCTGGTCATAGGAAGTCAATACCTCCTTAAGCAGTTCAACTTTTGCATTGGGAACCGTCCTTGGGTCCTTTCAATGAGAAAAGTGGTTAAACATATTTTAAATAAATACATAAATAAAAAATAATAATAAACTGTAGTTACATGAGCTTTATAAAACATAGAACATGCAACTGTCATACTGCTGTTTACAAATGAGGATAGTTACCAAACAGTTTTTGGTTTATGAAAGTAAAACAAAAACAAAATCATTCTTCGCTGATGTTTCAAATTTTATAGCTACACAGTAGGATTTTGTATTGGAGTTCACAAATTAACTTGCTAAATCGCAGTGCTTTGGGCTTTGGTCAGTTTACTTTTGCAAGTTAAATAAAGCAATGAACACACCCTTCACAAATACTTTACACCCTGTCTACCTTGTCCCCTTTAAACTCTTCCTTTCACAGCAAATGCACTTAGTAAAACTGCACTATATCATACATGCAACTTAAATAAATATTACGTATTATGTTGGTAGTAAGACTACCTCTTACAGGAGCAAGTACGTTAACTGTCTTTGTATAATGTCACTCTGTTCTGTTCAGACAAACCCAATGGTCCAGACTGGTAACAGCAGTTTAAGAAGAAATTTGTAAACAATGCTGTTAAATCAAGTACAGTGGTGCCTCAACTTACAAACGTCCTGGCATACAACCATTTCGAGTTACGACCAGCTCCAGCTGCAAAATTTTGCTTCTACTTGCGACCGGAGCTTCAAGTTACAATGCTAGTAAACACATATTCATCTCTCATTGTTTATCTCTTGGCTACACTTGGGAGAGGCCTATTTTACCTCTTGGGAGGCCTATTTTATTTTTATTTTTTTGTCCTTCAAGGATATATATATAATCCTACCAGTGAGATTTCCAGTTCATGCATCTGACAAAATGAGCACAGATCTGTGAAAGTTTTATCCTACAATACCATTTGTTATTTTTATATGTTCTTTGCCTCTTCCACTCCTCCATGACAACATCACAGAGCTGGTGAATGTTAGAGACCTTGCACACCTCCATCTTCCATTCTAGGATGCCCCACATATGCTCAATAGGGTTTAGGACTGGAGACCTGCTTGGCCAATCCATCACCTTTACCCTCAGATTCTTTAGCAAGGCAGTGGTCATTTTGGAGGTGGGTTTGGGGTCATTATCATGTTGGAACACTGCTCTGCGGGCCCAGTCTCCAAAGCGAGGGGATCATGCTCTGCTTCAGTACCTCACAGTACATGTTGGCATTCATGGTTCCCTCAATAAACTGGAGCTCCCCAGTGCTGGCAGCCCTCATGTAACCCCAGACCATGACACTCCCACCACCATGCTTGACTGTAAGCATGACACACTTGTCTTTGTATTCCTCACCTGGTTGCTGCCACCCATGCTTGACACCATCTGAACCAAATAAGTTTATCTTGGTCTCATTGGACCACAAGACATATGTGGACACAGGACATATGTTCCAGAAATCCATGTCCTTAGTCTGCTTGTCTGCACCAAACTGTATGCGGGCTTTCTTGTGCATCATCTTTAGAAGAGGCTTCCTTCTGGGACGACAGCTCTGGAGACTAATTTGATGCAGTGTGAGGCGTACGGTCTGAGGACTGACAGGCTGGCTCCATACCCCTTCACCTTCTGCAGCAATGCTGGCAGCACTCATATGTCTATCTCCCAAAGCCAACCTCTGGATATGATGCTGAGCATGTGCACTCAACTCTTTTGGTCAACCATGGCAAGGCCTGTTCTGAGTGAAACCTGTCCTGTTAAACCGTGCTTGATCACCGTGCTGCAGCTCAGTTTCAGGATGTTGGCAATCTTCTTATAGTCTAGGCCACTGGTTCTTAACCTTGGGTTACTCAGGAGTTTTGGACTGCAACTCCCAGAAGCCTTCACCACCAACTGTGCTGGCTGGGGTTTCTGGGAGTTGCAGTTCAAAAACATCCGAGTAACAAAGGTTAAGAACCACTGGTCTAGGCCATCTTTGTGTAGAGCAATAATTTGTTTTTTTCAGATCCTCAAATTGTTCATTACCATGAGGTGCCATGTGGAACTTCCAGTGACCAGTCTAAAAGAGTGAGAGTGATAACACCTACTCCCCCTTCACACCTAAGACTTGTGACACCAACGGGGTCTCACGACACCAGGGAGGGAAAACAGCTACTTGGACCCAATTTGGACATTGTTACTTAGGGGTGTACTCAGTTTTGTTGGCAGCAGTTTAGACATTAATGGTTATGTGTTGCATTATTTTGAAGGGACAGCACATTTACACTGTTATACAAGCTATATACTTACTGCTTTACATCATAGCCAAGTGTCATTTCTTCAGAGTTGCCACATAAAAAGAGATACTAAAATATTTATGAAATGTGAGGGGGTGTATTCACTTCTGTGATATACTGTATGTTCAACAGTCATTATGGAGGACAATGAGAGCTTTGTGCACCAGAAATATACACACTTAAAAACATATTTAAAACAAGCTACTGACTGCCAAAGAAGCAAAAAATAAAATAAAATAAAAATCTTTCAATCCTTCCTAGAAAAAAATATCAGGCTCTGGCTTCAGGGCTATTCTGCATATCTCGACAGATTTTTAAAACAAAGAAACAGCAAACAATACTGCTAACTCTGCTCTCAACTGTAAAATGCAGGTGATTTATTATACTGGCAGACATCCTGTTGATTAATTATGCATGTGGAAGGGATAACATTCTGTCACTTTTACCTGGCATTTAATGAGTCACTACTGCGATTCTCAGGGGCACTCACACTCCCGCTGGTTTGGCTTGTGCTCAGAAATCTCAGTGGGGAGTCAGTAACTGTCAGATAGAAGT